TTCAGTCGATTCGATGCTTAAAGCCTGCATTTCGTACGGACACTCATGGAATTCAAGGAAGTTATGGTTCTGTATTAATTTGAAGCAAAACACACTGTATATTCAAATATTTGCGATTAGATATATCTATCGGTTTCCTATATAAATTTATAATAATAAAATTTGTTGTCAAAGGTACTAAAAAGGATTAAGTGTAATTCAGTGAGTTGAATACCGTCATGTCATGACTAATAATAATATCATCGTGCAAATTTTGCTAACGAATTATTTATGAAATACCAATATATTTCAACGCGGACGTAAATTATGGTACACACCTAAATCATATAAAACATATGATGGAGATCTCCTTTAATCTAAACTAAAATCGACTAACGTCACATTTCGTTCTGAATGAAATTCGCGAATACCGTAAAAAATGTTAAGTGACTTGTATTGTTTGTGTGACATATCTAAATCGTATTAAACAATATGATGGAGATCCCCCCTAATCTAAACAAAAAGCTACGGACGTCATTTTCATCTTAGAATGAATTAAACAAATAATCCGTGAATCATAAATTTTGCGACAAGAGTACGTACAAAGTGTAATCATGTCATTAACGATCTATGTGGTTTGTATGTATGATTAAAACTTACTGAGCGATTTTCATTAGCGCTATTTTGAGGAATTACTAGGAAATTTAACATAAATTTGGAAATTATTATGTACATATTTCTTCAACCTAATCGCTATTTTATTTTTTTACTTCTATGGCACTTACCTACTTAAAAAACTTACCTACTACAAATTAATTTCTGAAAAAATGACGTAATATTTCCTGATATTTTGGCTACGCATTGGGAAAGTACAATTTACGTAAAAAAATTTAAAAATACACAACTTTGGTAATATCTATGTAGATTTTATATGTATGTAATAAGAATTGCATTACTAAAGTCCTTATCTTAGAACTCGGATAAGAATCATCCATCAAATTTTAAATAGACGAAGATACAGGTGTCATTATTTTCTACCACCCATTTATAGGATTTGTAACTAATTCAAGTCGAATTTAGAATAATGGGAACCGAAACTTTATCTGCCTTTAGAAATATATATATTCTTATTAAACTAGTTAAAAAAGTAGTGTAACATACATTTGCCATGTCCAATTATACTGGAGAAATGAGAATTTACATTAGTTTGGTTGGTAGCTTCCGTGGCGGTTTTTAATGGTTAAACAATTTCCAGATTAGTTGCCACATGGTCGTTTTACATGTTTCGAGAGATATATCGTTCTCTTCTTCAGAAAAAATTCTGAAACTAGAGATTACGCGCGCTAATGGCTTGGCAGGAAAATTACCTCGGATGGGACGGGGTCGAGCGGGACTATCGCTCTTCACCCACGCCATCTCTGTAAGCCCGTACGCCTCGTAGAGGTAGGCCCTTTTCCCGTCATCCTGGACCGCTGACGCGGCCGGGTTCAAGCAGTTCGTGGGGTGTCTTTCTGTCCTGACTGGGATCGTTTCCCTTTGCACGGTCCACGACCTGGGTGGTGGGTTTGAATGAGATCGTGCAGCTATGAAACTTAGGAAGCGCACTGATAAAGTGACCCTTGGGCTGGCGCGGGAGGGGAAATGGTAGCGAGTTTGCGATCTCTTTCACTCGACCGAAGTAGGTCGAGGTGGAGAAACTGGAGATTCGCTAATATCCTGGGCTCGGATGGGGCAAGATCCAGCAGGACTATCGCTTTTTACTCACATAGAAACTGGTAATTAAATCCTCTCGCACAAAAACTGATAAATGATACTTAAAAATATTTTCAATGCTAGGCCAATGCAAATCTGAATTTTTTGTATTTTATATCTTGTTGTAATGTCCAGACACAGAAAGTAAAGTGTGAGGTAGTAATTAATAACAGATAAAACCATTGATTCAGCAAGAGATTTCCTCAGAATGTGTAAGTACTATACACTACTATACAAACGAACCATATGAAATCTAATCATAAAATATTCTTATGTATAATTAGATAACAATCAATTGTCTGACATGCCTGTCTTCTGTCTTATTCCGTTTGTTTTGGATTTAAAATGAAATATGATCAAAATGAGTGTATATCTTTGTAGGAATTTATAATATAAATAAAAACCAGTTTTCATATATCGCACAGCACAATTAGTAAGAACTAATTAAATACTTTCATTGTTTATAGCAACTTCTTATTTAAAATCTTATTTTAAGTCGGGCAAAGTTCGTGATACTATATTTATTCGATAACTATGAAGTATTGAAAAATATTATTATTGAATATTATGATGTGTTATTTAGGTATTAGTCATTCTGGGCTAAAAGCATGAAATTTTATTTAATTAAATGCAAAAGAAGAAGAATAAAGAAGAATGTTTATTTTAGAAGCGTAGTAAGAAATTTTACTAATTTTGTCAGCTTTGTCTCAAAAACTTGTGTATTTTCAAAGTACGTTTATTATTAAAACAAATATTCCTCTATACAGTCGTATATAATTTGGCCAATGTATCACTAATTATGACAGAGATATTAGCAAAATCATAATAAAGGGCGTCCAAAAGTAACCCAGGATTTCATATGAGGAAAAAAGATGTTATTAATTAAAAAGTTGTCAAAGATTTTACATGTTTTTGAAGGGTAGACATTGCCATTAAATATGAAAGAGGATATCGGACAGACCTCCTCCGTGATTCATTTGACATACTCGACTTTTTTAGAGAAAATTCTGTATCACTCTTTCGCATACCTGCCTGCGGCTGAATTTCGTTGATAACTCTCCGAATTTCTGCCTTTAATTTAGGAATGGTATTCATTTGAGCAGAATAAACTTTGTACTTTACCAAGTCGCATGGCGTAAAATCGCATGATCTTGATGGCCAAGTGACTTCACTGTTACGTGAGATGTGTCGTGCATTACATTTCTGCCGTAACAAGTGGATAGCTTCACGTTCCGTATGGCAGGTGGCACCATCCTATTGGAACCGCATGTCATCCAAATTAATGCCATCCAAATGAGGCTACAAAAAGTTCAATAGCATCTCTCGATATCGTTCTCCATTGACAGTCACTGCGTTTCCAGCTTCATTTTAAAATCCACATCAGACTGTCACTCTTTGAGTACACAGTGATCATTTTTTAATGACCCGAGAATTCGCTCTGACCCAAATTCGACAATTTTGCTTCTTCACATACCCACTACGATGGAAATGCGCCTCATCGCTAAATATGTTTTTCTTAGCAAAATCAACGCCCACTTGTTGATTCTCTAACATCCAATCAACGAAAGTCGTCTGATTTCTATTCCTGAGTTAGCTGAATCTTGAATGGATGCAGATGCAGATCTTTTTTTTAAATCCGCTACATTGTGCTTTTTGAAATATTTAATTGCAGTGATCGACGGCGCACTAAGGTTACGGGAATTTCCGTCACACTATCACTCGCCGTAGCAATATTTTCGACTGAACGGTCAGTATGCGCCCGGCCTGTTTTTTATCTACAGCCGAAACTGTTTGTTCAAATTTGGCAGCTAATGTTTTCACAGTTGTTTCATTCGGAGCGTTCCTTCTACCGAAAATTCCACGTAATTTGCGCACAGTGTCAGCTACACACTCTCCGTACTTGTAATAAATTTTCACCATAACTGCAACGTGTTTACTACATGTGACCTTGCAAAATGGCGCACAATTCAAGTCCTGCATTTAAGACACCCTTTACTTGGCAAATTTGTGTAGGTCTCTAAAATTTATTAGTCATAACGATATCTCGTTTGCGTATAATATTCCATAAAATTATTTAATAGACCCATTATTCTCTATATAATTACATCGGTAAAAGAATATCATTTTCGTGTATGTTAAAATGTATAGGCTTTTTAGTTAGAAAGATCCAAATCATCTAGACAGCTGTTAGCTGTTTGTAGAAAATCAAAGGTAGACCACAGAAGGAAACAAATCCAATTCGAGTACATAATAATAATTGATTTTTCAGCTCGGATTCGCCTTTTTGTAGTTACGCAAAGCAGTGGTTCCCAAAGTGTCTGACAAATTCTACAGAGGGTAGCTAAATGATTTATGAAATACATTCATGATTTGCTTGCTGTTCCAAAACTAAACTATTTAATTTGCAGTTCATTAAATTCATTAATTAACAATATTCATTAATTCGATTTAACTTAGTTTTTACAAAATTTAGAGAAATATAAGTTTTGTATACGGGAATATAAAATTCTGTCATTTTCCAATTCCAAGTTATTTCTCTCTTTCACTTTTAAAACAATCATTAATACAAAATAATACCATACAAATATGAAGTTGTAAATGGTGTTAAAATTATAAAAGCACTATTACTACTCGCTCAGGACACTTTAGTTTTCTCTCATTTGAAAGACGATCTGTTTGAAAGAAAATTCTCATTGTAACATTGCACATACCTTAAAAAATCTTGAATTTAGTTGGGATTTGCTGTCAAAAGTAAAGGTCATATCTAAGAGGCAGTCGCAACTTTGGAAACCACTGATCTGAAGTAGAAAGTGAGAAATTCTGCACCTTTAAAATTAAATTTATCCATCTATTTCAATTTAAATTTGGTTTTAAGTTAAGATAATTAATCTGATATTTGTAGTCGAAACTTTAAGTTTTAAAGCTTTCAATTAATTACTTGATTTCTAATTTTAATTAGTTCGTAATCGAAATCGCCACGTCTATGAATCTCCGTAACAAAGTTAGACAAGACAAATATTTCGACAAGCATTTTTTCTCTTGGTTTTCATACAACTTCATAAAATAACCAAAAAAAATGAAAAAAGGGCAAAGTTTGAAGAATGTGTTATGATACATACTCCAGTTTAGAAAGAATTATTTGAAATATTTTAATGTAATTTCATTGAAGAATGTTAAATTAATTTTCGTACACAAAACCTATTTACTGATAAAATATTTATTTATTTTTTTATTACTAAGTAGGTATAATTTAATAATTTTTATTCTAGATGAGGCATACATGAAGATGGCCTTGGAAACTATGGAGGAGCTGGATTGGTGCCTCGATCAGCTAGAAACTATCCAAACTCACCGATCTGTTTCCGACATGGCATCGTTGAAGGTAAGTTTTTTTATTTTCTTTCATAGAAGCTATACTCATGAAATAAGAATTTTTGTTAATCATCAATCAAAATCGAGATAAGTCAAATACTAAATTTGAACATGCGATTTCTCAAAGACGAAAAATGATATCGAAATAAATTCAAATGCGTTTCAATTAGTAAGTATAGTACTTTAAGATCCCATTAATGGTTTTAGCAAATAAATTTATCTATGCATGTAACATAACCTCAAATTTGTAAAAAAATGCGATTTTGGAACTTAGGTGAGGATTTCCCGAAAATCATAGCCAATTGAGAAATTTAAACCTCGATTTCGAATTCACTAAAATCCTTAGGAAAAGTACATTCTGGTTTCTAAGTTAGAGTGTCGGCAAATTTTGTCGGCCTGTGATTATTCACGTAACATTCCTATCTTTCAAATTTTTGAATTTCATATGAAAATAGGTCGTAGTTTGCCTTATTTTCAAAATATATATTGTTGAAATTAGAAAAAAATCCCTTTTTCTATCTGCGAGAATGTTTGACATATAAAACTTGGATGATATTTAGAAGAAAACTTTAACTTACCTATATTTTATAAAAATTGCACATTATATAGTATACAGTTTCTTTGTTTTAATTTAGTAACAGTATTTCATAATAATATAACTAATTATTAAGTAAAATGAAGAAATGGATAAATCTGACCAAGTTAAGTACAAAAATTAAATATAAATTAGACAAAAAATATGTTTAATATATTTTAGCACAATAAATAAAGAAAGATAAAAAACTATTGAAAGTTAGTCTTAGCTTTTAAAATGTCAATCGTCAAGAGCTTGCAAACATAACCCTACTTTATTTGTAATTTTTATAAAATTATTTGTGCTAAGATAATGTCAAAAACTGTTACTGTTTTTAATTCATCTCAATTTTTGATAAATAACTTTATTCAGATTGATTATTTTCTTATATTCACGTATTAATAATTTGAGTGTGAAATTTCGATTGTAAAAGTAAAAGATCATTATTATTACGCAATTTGCTCTAAAATCTAAGAGCATTGGAAAATTTAGCAAGAGTTTTTTCTTTTTGTCTTCGTCATCAAGAACAAACAACTGTTGTGTAAAAATTAAAAAGTATAACTTTGTTCCCACACTATGTTGTTTTACCAAAGCATAGAAATGCTTTAAAAATTCTAGGCATAAAACTTCTGCTTTAAGAAATGAACTTAACCTTCTTTACCGTACCTAGGGCACTGGTTTATGAAATACAGAGTTACTAGAAAGGTTTGTAATGGGTTATAGCACTAGTTCCTTAAAAATTGTTTTAAAAGTAATTCAAAACATGATTATTGCCGTTTACTTTATTTCGTTACTTTTATTTTCACATATTTATTTAGGGAAGCTTAAATTTCAGAGCCCCGGAAAACGTCAACAAGTGATTATAATATATCTCTACAATATCCGCTGTTTGAAACAGTTGCACTTTATAAAGAAAGACTTAGGGAAACGAAGCAAGAAAAACATACAAATATAATGTTTCTACTTAGTGTAAATTTCAAAACTAGGTCATGCATATATCTATGATGTATAACTTATGTTTCTGTCAGAATTTTAATAGTTGCAGTGATTTTGTTTTCGACACTTAAAACACGTTTATATGTGGAAAACATTTATCACTCAGACAGCTTGACTTCTCCGCGTATGTAAATATGTGCTCGGTACAGTAAGAACGGACTCTAATAAAACGAAAGTCTCTATTTTAATCACAACCTAACGGTCAACGTCGATATTTATCATTTCGAGGAAACTGTAATGGTAAATTGGAAAAACTACATAAAATAATGATATGCATTAACAAGAGTAAACAGTCGAGATATTATTAATGCTTTTGTGTTTACCTAAACACTACAGACAACACGCCTTACTTACTATTACACCTGCTTATCTATTCATTTCGTCTTCATTTACCTGCTGTCTGTCTGATAATCCGATTTTTATAGCCGAAATTAGATAAAATTCATTAAATACTAGCAGAGTGTACATTTCATTAAGCAGATTATATTGCATTTTTACGACTACCAACATTTCAAAAAAGTTTGTACCAAATGGGATAAATATATATATTTGATGTTATAAAAAAATAAGGGAAGGTTTATTTGGCGATATTTGATTTATGAGAAAATGTCATCAATTTAAACAGCCAAAACAAACGTTTTTTCTAAGAATATGAAGATGACTGGCAGAATTCTAATAGCATTAATTTATTTTGACTGAATTTTCCGTATCAAAAATAATATCGATATAGAAAAATCCACACGTGTAATTTTTCACGTCATTATTTTTTAATAGAAAATACAATATTGTGTAAAAAATGAACTTTTCTACACTAAAAGAAATCTAAATGTAATTATAAGAACATTGTATATTATATGTGACAGATAAACAGGTGAATATTGGATTTAAAACGCGTAATACCAACACAGTGACTATAAACCATATTCTTTATTAAATTGTATAACTAGTCTAAAACTCTACGAAATGATAGCTATAACTGTTATTAATGTATTCCATACTCGTTATTAGAACATCTAGTACTAGGCAGTTATATGTTTTACAATAAGAGTTAAAAACAAATGATATTAAATTATAGATATTGTATTGTAGAACTTATATACAAGCTGAAATTATAATGTAAATATGTAACAAACATTTAATATTAGAAATGATAACAAATCGCTCCCAAAAATATCCAGCCTATCTTCTTAGTACCGATGCACCCGTGTCTTCTTGTATTACATTACATTACATCGAAATTTACGCTATTATTCTTCCACTCTAAGAACGAAGCATCCCATGACTCTTTTATTTTAATTCTATTTCCTCTGGTTAATTGACTTAACCCGTGAGCCTTCTGTTTCTTCATCGTATGTAAAGCTTAACATCAGTGGTTTCTAGTAAGGAACACAGAATAATAAGTTTTAAGATTTAGACAGATTTAAATATGAAAAAACAAAAAAATTTCAAACCATAGAACAGTTAGATATTCATATACGAGTAACTTTCCACTTCACATAACGTGGTATGATCATATACCCCACAAAACATGTGTCTGTACTATCTATCCTCATCCAACATGTATAGCGGACTGCACCGAGAGGTGACAATCACTTAACCACTATAAAACTCGTTTTACGTATTAAAAAACGGAAACATAATCATTATGGAAACGAATAATTCTTACAGTTGTTCTTTGCACAATAAATCTTCCCTATTATCCAAATGGAACATAAACCCTATAACACAAAATAATATACATGCTTTCCAGTTAAACTCATTGCATAATGAGGATGGAGATGAGTATTTTTTTTTTTTAATCAAAGTTGTATTTTTGTTATAAAAGTTCTAATATGTGCTATACACATTATTCTAGAGAAACAGTTTAATAAGCCCATTTCTTTGTGTTTGAAGTAATTTTGGAATTATTTCCAATATGCTGAACTGTGAGTAATTTCATAGAATACAAAAAAGAATATGTTTAAAATGACTCGTCTTTAAATACAATGTAACAGAACATTTGTTAGAAAAACAGGAACATTTGGAATTTGGAGACTTTTAAAATACCTAAGGGGAGCTTAATAAATTTAGAAATTTAAACGTAAAATCAAGGCAAATTTTATTTTCAAAATGTTTGTTTTAAAGTATGATTGATTAATTTTATAAAGAAAATGGATATATAAAGGTGACTGTTTTCATTCAGGTTTTTATAAAATCTTTACATTCTTTACTTTTAGTAGAAAATTATTTCAGAATTAATCTTAAACGTTTATATATTGAATAACAACATTCCTACATTTTCATCTCCATGTTTTAATTGGTTTTATTTAGTTATAATTTCCCTTTACAAATTTACCCCTTAATTAGATTATTTTTAAAGAAACATGGGGCCGCTTATACTAAATATGAAGTAACACAAATAAGTACGCTGAAATTGAAAAGCGAGTTGCTTTTCCGAATTAAATTATTGCCTGAAAATACACGCCTGAATGAATAGAGTGCCTGTTTATTAAAAATATTTTAAAGGAAACTCGGGCGCAAATCCTACAGGCACACGTTTTTAAAATATTGTTTTTACATCCACACACCAATTACGAGAGGTACGTTGAGCTTTATGATTTATAAAAATTGAGTAAATCAAAATCTTTGTCGGAAATAATATATCTTCGGAATCTGTGTTTTCTCTACGGATTAACGATTGTGAAAAGCTGCTTGCGCACAACATAATTTAGTACTACGCTGTGTAGTCAAGTAATTCTATCGCTTAATATTTCCAATACGTAGGTACCTACCCACTATTTCGCTTTAAAAATACAAAACATAGTAATACTGAAATTGCACGTAAAATTTAATGTAGAATAAATATGAATACAGCAAAATTAGAAAGTTAATGAAATTTTAATTAAATTTGCGTAGAAAATGTCCAATTTGAAAATAGGTATTTAATAACCCAAAGTTGGTCTGTCGTTCCGTTTGATTAGAACTTATATGCCTATTCTCAAGTAACAGGTAATGTATTTGTTGGTCCTCATTAATTGGAAGTTGTTCTTTGAGGATAGTTGTATTTTTAAATCAACAAATGAAAAAATACAAATACAAAAAAGAGAAAGTGTTTCCTAATTACATCTTCAAGGGTTATTCATTGGATCATTTTAGGTTCAATATCTTTAATTAACTAACTGCTCAAGTCATTGAAATTTATTGAAATAAAAAAAATTTGGAAACTTGACTAAAAAAGTATTTCCGCTATCGGTTGAAAATTTATATATCACTTCATACAATTTCTTGAATTATCTAATAAATTAAAATAAAGATTAAATTAATACTTAAAAACATAACGGTCCAACATATCGTATTTCTAAAACATGTAACTTTTGAACCTAAGATGTTTCATGAGAATCACTAGCATGATACTACAGAATAAATATATAAAGTCAAGAAAAATAGAAAAATAATTGTCA